CCCCAAAACCCCAAAACCCCAAAACCCCAAAACCCCAACTGAATTTTTGTGAATTGAAAATATATCTTTTCCTTTTTATAATTCTCTATCTTTAAAAATGTTCCAACAACTAAATCTTGCATTCAATAAAAAAATAATCAGATTATTCATTCTTTACTTTGAATAAAGGAGATATATAATGATATTGATCCTTATGGAATCCAACTTTGAACATGACTTGTGATGGAGCATATCATTATCCCCAGAAGCGCACAGGCCGAATCATCACAGAAGATATCAATGAAGGCCAATTCTTCATCTTATAAATTAGCCATCCAGTATCAGCAACAATTTTTGATCCTCCAAAACTCCACAAATTATACTGAGAGGAGTCTAGGGTTCTATGAATTGTCTGATCATAATCATGTGATGAACTCTCCAGACCCTCAAGACCAATCACCTTATTCTCATAATTCATAACGAGTTCTCTAATACACTTGACTACATCGATGGCTGAACTTCCTTCTTTGATTACTAAGTCTGTATAAAAATCTGGGATTCTAAGAAAGATATTTTGAATAATGATTGCTTCCTTAGAGCTATCAATTCCTTCTTCAGTGAGTCACTTGCTCTCAGCCAGAACAGGAGCTGGCTGATAGTCAAGAATCTTGACCCATATCCCATTAGAATGCCTGTATTCATAGAACTTCTTGCATGTCGCTAGTACTCTCATCAAATCAGGGATGCTCATGTAGTGCAGGATGTTGCACAAATCTGATAAGCGCATCTGTGTCAAGCTAAAATTAGACTCCATTGCTTATTAAAAATTATTACATTTTAGGGAGATAGATCAAAGATTTACAAAGGACATAAGCAAAATTAAGAATTCTCAACATCAATCATTAACTATGAGCTCGTCCAAAAGAAAGCATCAAGGTGAAGCAGGAAGTTTGTTTATGATTAGTTCCCTAGCGAGTGAGAAAATGAGACTGATCATTAATGCAATGAAGATCAGAGAGTTCAAAGGACAAAAAGATCTGAGAAAGATAAATATTGATGCACGAAAGGTACTCACCAAGAGTCAAGAAAGAATCAGCCAACAATTTATTGGTAATCTTGTAGGTAATCTGTAGATTATCAGAAGAGAACTGATAATTTGGACCTCCCTGGTGTCCAACTTCCCTATTTTGAGAATTTAGTTTCAAATCAAGTAAAGGAAGAGCAGCCTCCAAAACCTGAATCAAGGATCTTGGTGAGTAAAGAGTCAGAAATTGTGTCCGAAAAGAAGCCAAGCGAGAACAATCTAGATAGAAAATATTCTGAACCTCTAAGCAATATATAAAAATATGCAAGTTCTTTCAATAAAAAAGTATTTTTTAGGGGTTTTGGGGTTTTGGGGTTTTGGGGTTTTGGGGTTTTGGGG